AAGTGCTTAATAAATGCTTTATTCATTTAAATCTTGGACATACAATATGGTATGAGTTCTGAATGGTCATCAAACACCCCACTACCACCACCACCCCACTTAAGTGCCTCAATCCATTCTGGTTACCTAGTTACTACCCTCCAAGGACTATGATATTGAAAAAACTTTGAACTCTGATGCAGATTTCTCCCAAACTCTTCGAAGGTACTGGAAAACCCTCAGTTTCCAATTCTTTGCCACCATACATAAAGAGCTGCTATAAATATTTTTATTCATATGGGTCCTTTCCCTTTTTTCTTTGATCTTTTTGGGATATAGGTATAGCAACAATGGTTGCTGTTTGTCATTCATTCTGAAAGAAGACCATGACATTAGGAAGGTGATGCCATGACATGCAAGTGAATTGGATTTAAGTGAGGGAGGGCTGTGCAAAGTCACCAAGCCTTACTTTCTCCTCCAGAGCCACCTGGGTCTAGTGGACAGATATGGATCAGGACAACTGGAGATGGCCCAGGATGCAGTGGGGGACCTTGGCCTTTTCAAGCTAAGGTCTTTAACAGGTCTCAGGTTTTTTTTTATTTTTGGTTTTTTGGTGAAGCAATAGGGGTTAAGTGACTTGCCCAGGGTCACCCGTCTAGTAAACATCAAGTATCTGAGGCCAGATTTGAACTCAGGTCTTCTTGACTCCAGGCCTTGTGCTTTAGCCACTGTGCCACCTAGCTGCCCCAACAAGTCTATCAGTTTGAGTGAGGCAATGCCCATTCAGTGATTAAGGCTTAGTAATGAGGTAAAGAATGGCTTCTTTAAAAAAAAAATAGATCTCGGAGGAGAAGACCCTCAGGGTTTCTGGCCAAAACAGAAACAATTGTGGTAGTATTGCTGGGTCAAAGGGTATGCAGTTTTATAGTTTTTTGGACAATGTTCCAAATTGCTCTCCAGAATGTTTCAGCTCCACTAATAGTGCATTAGTGTACCCATATCCCCACTCCCCCTCCCACATTTGTCATTTTCCTTTTCTGCCATGTTGGCCAATCTGACAGGTGTGAGGTGGTACCTCAGTCCTTATCCTTCTTGATCTCTTTGTGACATCCTTGATTCCCCTCTGCCCCTTGATACTCTCTTTCATCTAGGTTTCCATGGCACTGCTCTCTCCTGGTTCTCCCCCTCACTGTCAGATTGTTCCTTTTCAGTCTCCTTTGCTACACCTTCATCCAGATCACACCCACCAACCATAGGTGTCCCCCAGGGTTCTGTCATGGTCCCCAACCCTCTCCTTCTATATTATTTCACTTAGTGATCTCATCAACTGTCAAGGATTCAATTGTTATTTCTATGTAAATGATTTTCAGGTCTATTTATACAGTCTTAACCTATCTCTCAACCTTCAGTCCTGGCATTTCCAACTGCCTCTTGGACATCTAGAACTGGATAATCTTAAAAACTGAACTCATCTTTCTTCCCAAAGTCTCTTCTCTTCCTAACTTCCCTATTATTGTCAAGAGTACTCCCGTCATTCTGGTCACCTGGACTGGCAACTTAGGTGCTAATCCTTGACTTCTACATCTCTCACCCCCTATTCAATCATTTATCAAGTCCTACCCATACTATCTTCATAACAGCTCTTGTATGTACCCCATTCTCTCCTGTAATACTGCTACCATCCTGGTGAAGTCTCTCCTTATGTTGCTTCTAGACTAGTAGTAATACCCTGCTGGCTGGTCTCTCTAGCAACACTTTCCCCACTCCATCAGAATAAAGTAAGCAGAACCAAGAAAACAATAATACAATGGCTACAACTATGTAAACAAAGAGAACAATAAAATGAAAATATATACTAATTAAAACTAGTTACAATTAAAATGTTTTTAAAAGTGTAAAAGAATAGCATTACAAGGTGTGAGCTCTCACATCCTGGCAGATGGTATCTTTCTCTAGTGGTCCTTGATTGAGGGTTCCTGCATAGCAAGTGTGGACTACAGTTTACCTATTTCTGATGCCCCCGTCAGCTTCAGACTAGTCAGAAGCTAAAGCTGGGAGGGCCACTAGGTGGCGCAGTGGATAGAGCTCTGGCCTTGGAGTCGAGAGACTCTGAATTCAAATGCAGCCTCAGACACTTGACACTTACTAGCTGTGTGACCCTGGGCAAGTCACTTAACCCCCATTGCCTCACAAAAAAAGAATTTAAGGCCAGGCATTACACAGAGCAGTGATTGCTGGGCAGAAGGCTTCATGGGGCTGTAGTGGAGCTGAGGTCTCATAGTTTTCTCGGATGCTATGGCAACACCCACTTGGTATTTCAAACATTTTGGGTATTACCCATTTGTTAACAATTCAATTTATCCTTGTTGAATATTTTTATTACAACTCTGTTAGAATAAAAGGCAGTAATGCCTATAGCTAGTGTTAAATTTAGAGGTTAGGAAACCTGGGTTCAAATCCTTCCTCTGACGCTAATTAACTGTGTGACCATAGGCATGGCATTATCATGTATGATAATCTAAATGATTATCATGGGAATAGTAATTAGCCCATAGTACTGACCTCACAGAATTGTTGTGATGTTGAAATGAGATAAAATGTATAAAACACTATATAAACATCAGGAATGTGATGTGAGGCCCTGGTCAATCAAGCAGAAGACATGATGAAAAGCTGGCTGTGGATTTCCCATTGGCCAAATAGAATATCTGAATGTTACAAGCACGGCAACAATAAAACGTCTAAGAGGAGGATTACTGCACACTCAGGTAGTTTACTCCTGGAATGTGTCAGCCAATATTCATTTTTAAAAGTACCTATTACGTGCCAGTCACTGTGCTAAATGTTGGGGATACAAAGAAAAGCAAAAGACTGTCTCTCCTCTGGAGGAGCTCATAATCTAATGGGGGAGAGAACAAGTAAACAAACTACATTGGAATAAAAAGGAAATAATCAACAGAGGCCACCCACTGGAAATACAGAGGAATTGGGAGAGGCTTCCAAGAACATAGGATTTTAGTAGGGACTTGAAGGAAGCCAAACCACTCCAGTATCTTTGCTAAGAAAAACCCAACTGGGGTCACTGGACACAGCTGAAATGAGTGAACAACAAATGAAGGAAGACAAGAGGTGGACATCAGAAGGGAGAATATTCCAAAGGGACAAAAAAGGACTGGAACTGAGAGATGAGTGTTCCTGGAACAACATGGAGATCAGTGTCACTGGATCAGAGTATGTGGGGGAGATGAAGGTGCAATAAGACTGGGAAGGTAGGAAGGAGCTAGCTTTTGGAGGTATTTGAGTGTGAAACAAAGGATATACCTTGGTGGAGCTAGGTAGTCACTGCAGTTTATTTAGTAGAGGAGTGATATGGATCCACCTAGGTTTAAAAAAAAAATCACTTTGCCAGTGAAGCGAGCAGAAGCGGGAGAACATTGTATACAGCAACTGTGATATTGTAAGGACGATCAACTTTTTTTTTTGCTAGGCAATGGGGTTAAGTGACTTGCCCATGATCACATAGCCAGGTACTCCTGAATTCAGGGCCAGTGCTCTATCCACTGTGCCACCTAGCTGCCCCCAAGGACTATCAACTTTGAAATACTTAGCTATTCTGATCAAGACAATGATCCATGACAATTCCAAAGAAATCATGATAAAAAATGGTATCCACCTCCAAAGTGAGAACTAATGGACTCTGAGTGCAGATTAAAGCATTTTTTTTACTCTATTTTTCTTGCTTCCCCCCCCCCATGCTAACGTGGAAATGTTTTGCATGACTTCATATGTGTGTGGGTATCCTATTTCTTGAAACCTCTGTAGGAAGGGGAGGGTGAAGAGAGGGAGAAATTTTGGAATTGGAAATAAATTTTTCTTTTTAAAAATTCTTGTGTTTCAGGGAAGCTAGGTGGCACAGTGGATAGAGCTTAGGCCTTAGAATTAGGAGGATCTGAGTTCAAAATAGACCTCAGACACTTGACACTAATACTGTGTGACCCTGGGCAAGTCACTTAACCCCATTGCCTTACCAAAAAAAAGTCTTAAGTTTCACTTGAGTAGTCTTTAAGAACCAAGGCCCATCTCCACATTGAGATGAGGCATTATATAGAACTTTTGTAAAGGTGTCTTTAACAACAATTTTTTAAAATTCTGCCCTACCCCTCAAAAAAAGATTTAGCAACTTAAAACTGCACAAAGACCTTTTATAGCTTACAGCTTATAGTTTTTGTAGCTGATAGCTTAAAACTGCACAAAGACCCTAAAACTGCACAAAGACCAAAGACCTTTTTTTTTTTTAATGAATTTGGGTCACACCTCAAAGTACCAAGAAAAATAATAGCATTTAAGTAGTGCTTTAAGATTTGCAAAGCACTTTACAAATATTGTATCATTAGTTCTCCACAACGACCCTGGGAAGAGGGTACTAATCATTATCATTACCCCATTTTGCAGATGAGGAAACTGAGGCAGCCAGAGGTTAAATGACTCAGTCTGGGCAACAGACAGAAGTGTCTGAATCTGGATTTGAATTCAGGTCTGTTCTGACTCCAGGGCCTGCGCTTCATCCTAGGGGGCTTGGTAAAGATTGATGGATGGATGGATAGATGGATAACTGAATAACTGAAATGGTGAGAATTGCAGTCTTTAATCTCATTTTAGGTCGTTTCCTCTCTCTTCCGCCTTCCCTCTCTTCCTCCTTTCTTACCCCTTCTCCTTCCCCATTCACCGCTCCCCCCTTCCCCCTCCCCCCTTTTCTTCCCCCCCCCCCCAACTCCAGAGAAGGGCAGACCGCAGAGCTCAAACTTCACAACTCAAACTGGGAAACGACTTTCCAGAGCGCAGCAAGCAGAGAAGGTGCGGGGCGGAAGGGAAGGCTCCCCATTGGCCGAGGCCCACTACCGGAAAGCGGATTGGCTAAGGAAGGTCAGCCCTCGCACCAGATCCGGGGATTCCTGCTGGGGGCGGGGCGGCGGGCGGCGGGGAGGAGCTTTCGCCGCGGGGGCGGAGGAGAGGAGGGGAGGAGCGGGCTGGGGGGGGCCGTGCTGCCTCTAGCCCCCTCCCACTCCCCCGGCAGTCCGGGGAGGTGTCGGGACCCCAGCTCGTTTGGGTTCGATGCCGCACCGGGGCAGCGGATTCCTGGACACTGCCGGTAGGAGCGTTGGCGGGGAGGGAGCGGGGTGTTGTTGAGCTGGGCGCGGGCGCGGCGAATGCCAAGCCCTGGCCGGACTACCCCGCCCTCCTCTAGGCGGGCCGAGGCCGAGACCGCAGCCAGGCCCCCTCTGCTCTGGGCACGGCGGCCGCCCAGTGCGCGGCCTTTGCTGGAGCTGGACCATGCGCGCGTGGGCACGTGTGGCCTCCCGCTGGGTGTCCCCCCCCCCCATTTTGCAGGTGGTTGTTCTGTTCCCTTGGAGGAGGGCGCACATGTGTGGATTGTGCACTTGGGGGGGGTCCCAGGCCAGCGGGGGGGGGGGAACCTTGAAGAGTAAAACATGCAGAGAGGGTGGAAAATGCCTGCGCTTTCTGCGTGTGTGTATCAGCAGGGTTTGTGCGTGTGTGTGCATGCGCGCTGCGGGGAGGGGGCCTGCGCGTTCAGGGTCAGCGCGCGTGAAATGGGAAGCCCTTAATAAATGTTTTATCTCGGCCTCTTTCCGTTTGTCGCTGTCTATTTCTTTCACCTATCTTTATTATCTGTCTGTATCTACTTATAGTTGTCCCTACTTGCCTATCTCTCTTCCTGTTTATTTCAATGTTTTTGTCTTTTTATTTCTATCATCTATTTTTATCGTGTCTCTACTTCTCTATATCTGTCTCTGCCTTCTGTTTCTATCTCTACCTAGCTGTTTATTTCTGTCTCTCTCTCATCTATCTAAATCTTTACCATCTCTCTAAACTTTCCTATTTATCTCTGTTTCTGTCATCTGTCTATACCTTCCTATATCTTTACTCACCCATCTCTACCTATCTCTGTCGTGTCTGTCCATCCATCCATCCTTCCATCCATCCATCATCTGTCCATCCATCCATCATCCATCCTTCCATCCATCCATCCATCTGTCTATCAATCATCCATCCACCCACCCACACACCCATCCACCCACCCAGTAAGGAGTAATGCAGAATCCTTACTGGAGGCAGTTGAGTCAGTTGCCTGGGAGAACCTAAAGAAATGTGCGCCGTCTCCCGGGTGAGAGGTGGTAGCACATCTGTTGGCCTCTTGTGAACAGCTGCTTTGCCTACGCAGTGGTTGTTGTTGGAATTCAATTTCCTTTTGAGCTGTTCTGGGGCCCCACACTGTTTTTTCCTGGTTTTGTTCGTTAGGGGCTGGGTATCCCGTGTGAGAGCGGGGCAGTTTATCTGCTTGTTGCAGTTCCAGACAGTTATTCTGAAGACCTGTTGCTCACCCATTGAAGAAGACCTGTCAGGCAATAGAAAAAAGAACTTTTTATTGTGATAGCCGATTCTTCTGGGTTTGACTGTAACAGCCTCAGATAATAAAGGGGGGGTGTCTTTTAGGGCTCTCACCATCAGATCAGTTAGGGAAAAGGAAAATACAAGACCTTTTAAAAAAATTACTAGGCTGCGTTCAACTAACAGCAATTGTGTTGTATGTGATAAAAAAAATTTAAAGGAAATGGGCCAGTGCCAGTTAGTGGTGAGGTAATAGCAATTTACAAAAGTTTAGATAGTAACTTGGGGTTGGGTGGAACATTTAAAAAATACCCAACACATTTTCATACTGTAGACTACAATTTTGGGACATGGAAGGAAATTTGTTGCTAAACAAATTCATGAAGAGCTAAGAGACTTAGGTTTCAAATTTTATATGGTCACAGACCACAAGTAGGTTATTTCTTAGAGCTGAGGATTTCAGGTACTTGGTGGTGGTTTGGGGTCTGAATAAGCATGATGATAAAATGATAAAATAACAGGCCAACTTGCCTCCAACTGCGTAGCTAAATTAGAGGAAACAGTGAAGTCATGTTTTTCATTTCCTGCTGTTATCCTTGATTATTCCCCTCATCCTCATCTAGCTCCTTCCCCAACCCCAGCCCCTTCAGACTACCTGAATCAATTCTGGACATCTGGGTTATGGGGGGGAAAATAATAACGGATTGAAATCATTGAATTTTAAGGTTGAAATAGAGGTCATCTATCTAACTTTTTCATATTACAGCTAAGAAACTGAGGCACACAGCTTATGGTTTTAAATACTGAGCTCTTGTCACTAAACCTGATGTCTCATTAATTAAAATGGGAGTGAGAAAAATCTCTCCAGCTAAATTAACTGAACATTTTTAAAAAATAAGTTTTTATTGATTTTTTTTACATCCTCATAGTTTCCCCAGTATCTCTCCCTCCCACTCCCAGAGAGCCATCCCATATAACAAATGGTATTTTAAAGACCCCTCCCAAAAGAAAAGGAAAGGAAAAAATTAGCACATCCAATCAATACATTGAAAAAAGTCCAAAAAAATGTGAAATGTGCATCTGTGGATCTCCCATCTCCACAAAGGGGTGGATTGGGGGTGTCCTCTCACATCTTCATTAGAGTCATGCTTGATCCTTCTAATTTTGTAAAATTCACTTTTGATTTTTTGATGTGTAGATATTTCCATTGATATTGTAGTAGTCATATATATTATTTTCTTGGCTCTGCTTCATTCACTCTAACAGTTCATGTTTTTCTTTTAGTTCTCTGTATTGGTGTATTTCTTACAGCACAGTGATATTCCATTACATTCATGTACTACAGTTTGTTTATTAATTCCTCAATAGATAGGCATCTACTTTGTTTCTAATTCTTTGCTATCACAAAAATTGCTACTGTAAATATTTTGGTGTGTGTAGGGATTTTCTTCTAATCAATAACTTCTTTGGGTATAAACCCAGGAATGCAGTCTTTGGGTCAAAAGGTATGGACATTTTTTAGTCACTTTATTTGCATAATTCCAAATTACTTTCCAAAATGGTTATAACAGTTTGCAGCTGCACCACATGTATTAGTGTGCCTATCATCCCACAAACCCTCCAAAATGAATTATTGCTATTTTTTGTCACTTTGGCAAATTTGCTGAGTGTGAGGTAAAATGTCAGGGTTGTTTTAATTTGCATTTCTCTTATTATTAAGTGATATGGAGCATTCTTTCATGTGGTTGTTAATGCTGTACAATTCTTTTTTGAACACTTCATATTTTCTGACCATTTTGAGGAATTAACTGAGCCATATTGTGTCATTTCCTTATCTAATCCTTATTTCCTTTTTTATAGCTATCCCATTTTTTAAAAAAAGTCTTTCATTCCTTTTCCTTTGCGTGATGAAGTTATTTCCCAGAAGTAATCTCATGTGTGCAGGGCCTCACACACTATTATTAAATGCATTGCAGCATAGTGTGACACATTCTTAATCTAGAGCTTCCTAATGAAACCTCAGGTTGCAAAAAAAGCAGCTGGGTAGTTATATTGCAGTATTTCTCATTGAAAAATTAGTTAGCACTCTCTTTGCTGAGGTTTGGGACTGTTGGTGTGGAACATTGCATATACTGTTAGAGACATTTAAAGTGTTGGTTTTGCCGAACTGCTTTCTGTCCCCTCTTTTTCTCCTCATTGTTACGAAGATTTGGGGAGGAAAGGAGGAAAGAATATAGAGACAGTTCTTGCTTTATGTAAGTGGACCGTTCCTCAGACCTCTACATAAAGTGCTTTTTTAGGGCAGCTAGGTGGTGCAGTGAATAGAGTTCTGGCCTTGGAGTCAGGAGGACCTGAATTCAAATGCAGCTTCAGACACTTAACACTTACTAGCTGTGTGACCCTGGGCAAGTCACTTAACCCTGATTGTCTCACCAAAAAAAAGAATGAAGTGCTTTTTATAAATACAAATTTGCCCCTCTCTACCCACTTCACTTAGCCTCTGTAACAAAGGCATACACAAAATAATACCTTTATGCATGTCAAAAAAAATTCAAAAGTGCAGACATTAAATACTGTACCATAAAAATAAACAGAATTATGAAATGAAAGGTTATGTTAATGATAAAGTATGTACAGCTTTGTAAAGTTGACATAGGTGTGCAGTATACTGCCCCCTCACCACCCCACTGCACCCACTTTGTTACTGGTGTTAGACTGTACAACTTTTTTTAATGAAGCTATTGAGAGATGTTTGGATAATGGCTTCTTTTTCCTCCTCGTATATCTGATGATAGAAAGCAAAATCATCCTAAACTAGTTTTTGAACTTATAAAAATCTTAAAGTATTTGGATCCGTCTTTTCAATACAAGAAAAAAAATTTCTCAAATGATAAAATGCTTCTGTTAGCTGTTTCATTGTAAACCTTTTTGGTTTTCCCTCAGTTTCCCAAGCTTCCCTTTCTTCTTCTTGACTCTTTGCAGCTAGCAGCTCAATCAGATCCTCATTCAACAGTTCTTCTCCATCAGACTCAAATCATGAATCTCTACATCATCAGACTTAAATCATCAATCTCTACATCATCAGACTCAAATCATGAATCTCTTATATCATTTTCATCCACTTCTAGCTCCAGTTCTTGTGCTAATTTACAGTCTTGTTCTTCGCACGTATCATTGTCAAATCCATGAAAATCAAACTGTGGGCATGCTTTTTTTCCACTCTCTTCATACATATTTCTGTTAACTCTTCCCATGCCTTAGCAGTGTTCTGGATTGCATGGTAAATATTATGGGACTTCTAGAAATCTCTCAATGTCTAGGCGTTATCTGCATCTAAAGCTGCAACTCCCTGGGCAAATATAGTATTACCTTGAAATTCACAATCACTTCCTGATAGTTGTAATTATGAAGTAGTGTTAGGGGGAAGGTAGACTCTTTTTACATTCTTTTTAAAACCATCCAGATGGGGAGGGTGATCTCGGGCATTATCTAAAGTTGAATCTTGGAAGGAATGCCATTGTCATTAAAAACTTCTCAACTTGGGGAGTAAAGCAGCAGGAAATAATGCCCAGATAAATCACTTCAGTCACTACTTAAGTTAATTCAGACTACTTATTAGGACAAGTACTGAAGCTGAAGCTTAAATACTTTGGTCACCTGATGAAAAGACAGAACTCATTGGAAAAGACCCTGATGTTGGGAAAGATTGAAGGCAAAAAGAGAATAGGACAGCAGAAGATG